TTTTTTTTTTTTTTTGTACCGGAGATCAAACTTGGGACCTTGTGCTTGTGAGGCAGGTGGCAGAACCACTGAACTAAATCCCGAGCCCCTATAGTCCACATTCTTAAACATTCTATATTCCCTTTCAATTTGAGGTTCAATCTCAGGGCTTAGTGAGGCATTGTTTATTTTTCAGCTAGTGCTCACTGACCAAAGGAAAGAATTGGAGATTATACTCATTGTGCTGACCAGCACAGTAATTAATTGCCACTGTATGGGACAATATTAAACAATGTCTACACACATTTAATAATTTTATCTATCTATATTGTACATATATATTAGAGACAGTATTACTATATCTTACATAAGAGGTGGTCTGTAAAGACAGCATGACCATATATCATCAAAATATCTCTTGAAAATTCTTAGGGTTAAGGGAAATTGCTACAATTATATTTTACATCCTGTCTTTAAAATTTTCATAACTAATTTTTCTTCCAGATTGGAACAAGTCACCATCTCTTGAGTAAATCACCAGATACATATCATTAGACCTTGACAGCATTGCATTCGACAGGATGTGTATACCATAGAAAATGCATATCTGCCTACTCACATTCACTCCTTGGCGTGTTTTATTTTGTGGAATGGTGGGTTGTCCTATTTAAATTTTTCTTTCCTTTTTTTTTCTTGAGCACATATAAATGAATTCTTATATCAAATAAAAGTTTGTTAATTTTGCTTTTCTGAATGTACATGTGAATTTGTGTGCTTTTTTTCACATAGTTGGGTCCTTGTCTACTAAGAAAGAACAATTAACAGTTTGGTTTGTTGTGTATTCATGTGGACTTTATGCATTACCACATGTGATCTTCTTTTTTCCATGTTAATTTATGTAAAGCTATGTTCTTTAAAAGGTGTGCTACATTCTTCAGCTTGGATGTGACATTTGTTAAAAATTTGTACAATTAATAGATACATATTTATATTTGTACAATTAAGAAAATAAATATGTACAATTCAAACATTATTATATAATTAAATAAATTCAAAGCTCTCTCGACCATTTTCCTTAACCTTAGGCATCTCCTGAGATTTAATAATAGTAAACAGTTTATCGTTATTATAAATCTCTTTTTTTTTTGCATTTCTTATATACCCTGAAGACATGTATAGGGTTTGGGTTTCCTTCCATAAATGATCCCGTGTTATAGTATTGTTCAATATGATTGTGTTTGTTTTTACCCAACAGTAAATCTTGGAGATCTTCCCATGTTGCACTGATCTGAAAGTAGTTTAATTGTCCTTTTGGGAATGGTTATTTAGATGTTTTCATACCATTGTAAAGAATACTGCTTTAATATTGTATGAGGTTTGTTGGCTACATGAGTTAATTTTAAATTTAAGATTTTGATACTACCTACATGGCTTTACTTGTTTACTGTAGATTGAGTTTGTTTATATTCTCTTAAAAGCATATGAATTTCTTCACACCTTCCTCAATTTATTAATAGTAATTCCCCAACTGAATATTTATGAAATAACATCTAGCTTTATTTATTTTTATTACTAATGTTGAGGACTTTGTTTTCTTTGGTATGTTTATTAGCCATTTATAGTTATTTTGTGACTTGCTCATTTTCCTTTTTGTTATCTTTTTGTATTGCTGGCATTTGCTTTTTGTAGGTTTGAAAACATTTATCCAGTCTTTTGTTACATGAAGGGTCTTAAATTTTGATGTACTGTATCATATTTATAAACCCTTTCCTTCATGGCTTTATTCAGATTAAGTACTTTTTTCTGTATCTAGATGGCTATTAAAAAATCAGGAAAGTTGAATTTTTGTCAAATGATCTTTTAATTTTTATATAAAGGGGTGATCATAATACTTTGTTAATATAACAAATGATACAATGAATTTCTAAATACTGAACCTTCTTTTAGTTATTTGGATAGAATCAATTTAGCTACCATTTATTATCTTTTGGAAAACTGGTTTCAATTATTCCCATTGTGTTTTTGCATTATACTTATGAATCAGAATTCACTGTCTCTTTCCTTTCCTCCCTCCCTCCCTCCATCTCCTCCCTTCCTATCCTCCTTCGTCTTTTATTCTTTGTTTCTCTCTTTTGTTTACAGTTTCTGAGGCTGGCATTATGTTCTTTCATAGGAAGATTTTTCTCCTTTACTATCTTTATCACTTTGTTTCTGGGACAAAATACTGGACACCCAGGACTTAAAGAAGAAAAGGTTTATTTTGATTTATGGTTTTTAGAGGATTCAATCCATAGTCACCTGGCTCCTAGGCAGGAAGGACATGGTGGAAGGGTCTGGCTAAGGAATGCTACTCAGATCATGGTGGTTAAGAAGTAGAGAAGGGAGGAACTGGTGAAGGACATATACCCTCCAGGTCATATCCCTAATGATTCACCTCTTCTGAACGGGCTCCATCCTAACAACACATTGAGCTAAAAACTTATTAGTGGATTAATACACTTACAAATGTCATATCCACATGATCTAGTTGCCTTCCACACACATTTAGAATTCCGGGAGACATTTTACACATAACCCTAACATTTGTTATACTTTCCAATGGTTATAAACATAAGAATGAGCAATCAAGAAATAGTAAAAGCTTTTCATTAATTTATCTAAGTCTAGTACCTTTGTTAAGGTAGGTCTTTGTCCTGAAGTTTTTTTTTCTATAGTTATGTGCATGTACAGGTTTCTAGCTTTTATTAAGGGAACTTGCCAACTTAATAGTTTTTTAGAAAGTTGTCCATTTCAACACATCTTTATATTTATTAGATTAAAATACATTTTCCTGTAGTTTTTTAAAAAACCTTATTAAATGGAATTATTTCATTTCTTTGTGCCTACTTTAATTTTTGTTTAATTAGTTTCTACTTTTATAAATTGCTTCTGTTTCTCTGGCCAGCCTTATTTTTATTTGTACCCCCCATAGATTTCAAATTCACAGAAAAGTTCTAGAATAAATGGTTAAGGAACTCCTATATATATATATACCTTATATATATATATATATACCTTACTCAGATTCACCACCTGTTGGTTTTGCCCTATTTACTATTCTGTCTGAATTTTTAAATTTATGTGTATTATTTCTTAGAGCCACTTTGAATGTGAGTTTGGGCATTTTAGCCAGTTGTAATTACTTCAGTCCGTATACGCTAAGAACCACAATAAAATCAGAAACTTTAACTGTGACATATAATACTCTTATCTAACCCACAGTCGATAGATTTTGTCAGTTGTCTAACAAGGTCCTTTATCATTATTTCCTTCTTACTCCAGGATATAACATGCATTACATTCAGCTGTCTTTTTTTTGTGTGTGTGTGTGAGGGGGCATGCTGGGGACTTTGGACTTTTTTGTTTGGCTAGTCACATTTGTGATTTTTGTTATGTTGTAACTCTGTATGACTTGGGTTCACAAAATAAATTTTTGGGGACTAAATAGCTAATGCCTCTTCATTTACTATGGCCTCCAGAATTTTAGGTAAGCCATCTACTACTAAGCTACATCTCTGGCTCCTAGTTGTCTTTTTAATGCTAACATTTCATAAGCTTCTTTTTTTCCCCATTTCTGAGGATTGAACCCAACCAAGGCCTTTGTACTGACCTATGTAGTTCAGTCCTTTTTATATTTAGACAGAGTCTGGCTAAGTTGCTTACCTTGATTTGAACTTGGGAACCTCCTGCATCAGCCTCCCAGAATACTGTGGTTACAGTAATATGCCACCAGGCCTAGAATTTTTTGTTTCTTGACCTTGACATTTTATATTTTTTCCCCTTTAGAACAGCACTCAATTTAGGTTTGTTTGATTAGACTCGTTCAGGTGTATATTTTGGTAGAAATATCGCAGAAATGATGATGTGTTTTCAGTTCATCATATCTGGAATCTTCTGATGTTGTTTACAGTGATATCTACAAGGTTTATCCACTTTAAGTTATTGTTGCCTTCTGTCACTAATAATTTGTTAGAATTCATTTGCAGTGGTATAAACACCTGTTCCTCTTCAACCTTTTACCTTTGGGTTTGTTACTTATTTCTAGACTGTCATGTTGAAAGCTTAGTTTATTTACTCTGGCAACTTTTATATTTTCCAAAATGTTTAATTAAGTTTGTGAACTTTTCCAAATATATTACTTTTACATATTGTCTGGGAGTACTTACAGTAAGACCTGCAATGAAAAGAGACAGTAAATGGACAGATTGTTTATAAATCATCTAGTACTAGGAAACCATCAAGAAAAACCTGAACAGAGTATTTTTTAAAGTTTATTGGTACAATTTAGATATACATAATGATCACATTCATCATAGAGAATTTGTTCTTGTACATGATATATCTTGATTATTTTTTCCCATTCCGTTATCCTCCCTTCAACCCCTCTTCCCCACCTTTTTTACAAAAGCTTTGTTTACATTTTTCTTTCTTTTCTCATTTTTTCCTTTTCCCTTCTGTCCTTTCCCCTGCCCCTCTTCCTAGATCCCTTTCCCATTTGAACATTTTCTTCTATTTCACAAATATGTATTATACATTTTGGTTCTCATTTACACTTGTAGTTTCTCACACTAGAGAAACAATGTGATATTTATGTATGTGTGTCTGATTTATTTCACTTGAGTAGGGTCTCAAGGTACACCTATTTAGCTATAAATGTCTTAAGATTATCTTTCTTTATGTCCAAGCAGTACCCCACTGTGTAAAAAAACCCATGTCTTGTTTATCCATTCATTGCTGAACAGAGTATTTTAAAGATACCCAAAATCAACCATTAAGAAAATTTTTCTAGTCTATTTAAATAACAAGACATAAATTTTATTGATCCCAGTTGACACACATGTGAACCAATTGTTTAAAACTGTTAATTTATGAAGTTTATTTATTCATTTACTTATTTACTTTTGTGGTAATGAGGATTGAGCCCAGGGCTTTCAGTCTGAGCTGTCACCAGCCCCCACCCCCCTTTTTTTTGAGACTGGGTCTTGCTAGGTTCAGACTTATAGTCTTCTAAAAAGTTTGTTTCTTCAATGCCATGGGTACTTGGGGCTTGCATGATAAATATATAACCATCCGGACTGTATTTTTACTTTACCATTTCAGGAGCAGCAGCAGTAGCACGAAAGAATCCTGTTTCCAGTTGGTTCACTGCCATGCTCCACTGCTTTGGCGGGGGAATTTTATCCTGTGTACTGCTTGCAGAGCCTCCATTGAAGTTTCTTACAAACCATACTAATGTTTTACTGGCCTCTTCAATCTGGTAAGCTACCAGTATGGGGAACTGTGAGATATTTTTAAAAAATGTTTAGAAAATTGTTAGTAAAATGGAATTTTTTTCTTCAAAAATATTTTATGTTTTAAGTGTAAAATATATCTCTTTCATGCCTTTCTCATCTTCTTTCTCCTAGGGGCAATTATTGTTACCATTGTCGTATGTATCTTTAGTGCAAACATTTCAAACATGAAGCGCATTCACATATTTGGTCCTGAAAATTTTTTTTTTGAGCCTATCTCATACAGAGTTACAGTGTAATAAAAATCATGAATGTGACTAACCAAACAAAAAGTCCAAGTAATTGTGGCTCATGTTCTTATCATACTATTTGTTGGATTATTTAGAGCCTTATGAGAGCTTTGAATATTAATTTTTTAGTTTTGAAATGAAGAGAAAATGTGACAAGCAATTACTTTGGATTCATGCAAATCCAAACTCAGATGTCTTTAAAAAGATAGATGGATTGAGTTGAAAAAATGTTTAATACACATCATTGTGCCTTTTTTTATTGAAAGCAAAAAAAAAGTGCTTCTATAACAACATTTAATAGCATTTTGAAAAAGTTTTTTATGGATGTAGATGCTGAAGGTATATAAAAGGTAAGATATCCAGACTCTGATACTTTCTGTTACTTCCACCTCTATTATTGTAGTATTAACTACCACTTCTTGCTTGGATAATTTCACTAACTTCTGAAGTGGTCTAGCTGCTCTTTTCATTATTCTTCTGAGTCTGTTCTTTACGAAGCAAATGAAGCAATTATTTTAAAATAAGTTAGAATGTGTCACTCTATTCCTGATAGTTTATCTTATTATGAACAAAGTCCTCTTACAATGATCTATAAAATCCTACAAAATCTTTCCTGTACTGTTTTTGATGTAATGAGTTAACATTCTATTCCTTCTTACTCCATTCTAATCACATGAACTTTGCTGTTTCTTGGCATATAATACATTATTTAACCTCAGTGTCTTTGCCTTTTTCTTCCTATAATGTTCTTTCATCAGAGAGTTCATATTTTCTTTTGTCTGAGAGGCCTTCCCTTATCACATGATTTTTCTCTTTTTTTTCTTCTTGGAGTTATTACTACCTGACATACTTTCTGTTGATTTTTTTTTTATGTTGGTTTGTCTTACTCATCTAGAATAACTGCTTATCAGAGCAGAGACTTTGTTTTGTTATCTGTGCCCAAGTACTGTTATAGATTCATTGAATGCAATACTCAAGAAATGGGTCCCTATATACTGTATAGGGGATTTCTGAATTTGAGTAGCAAGGACTGTAGATCACAATTAGTTGATCACTTAAATGAAATAAAATTGTATACCTATAAATGTGTGCTTTCTTGGCTTAAGCTAAAAGGTATGTTAAATGGAAAATTTTAAATGCATTTTAATACAATGAATTAATAAGAAAGTGTTTATTTGTTAACTTCAGATCTTTTACTCCCATTTTACATAAGAGAAGATTGAAGCCTAAAGAGTTGGCAGGGTCTAAATTTCAACTCAGGCATTTAGATTATGAACTCCAGATGAGTTTTCTCTCTTGAATATTTGGCTTTATTAAAATTTCAACTAAGTTTGGTGTGGTGGTGCATGTCTGTAATCCCAGCACTTGGAGGGCCAAAGCAGGAGGGTTGTCATGAGTTCAAGGCCAGCCTGGGTTCCATAGTGAATTAGAGACAAGCCTGGACCACATAGCAAGATCCTATTTCACCTCCCCACTAAATTTCAACTAATACTGAGTGATATGAAAATATTTTTAAAATATGTGTAAAATATAAAGAAGTCTGATATATATCACTTCTTGGCCTTTTGGCTAAGATTGAGTGAAGAATTCTGATATAATAAAATCTTATATATGGTATTTAGATCAAGAAAAAAATTGCCACTTAAAAATCTTTTTATCATAAACTGAACATTTAGAAAACAGCAAGAGTCAAATATGTGGCCTAATGAATTCAGAGTACCTTCTTTAAACCATTACCCAAGTCACCATAGAAGTCTTGTTTCCTAATTTCAACCCCTTTCCTACCTTAAATAACCATTATAATAGCACACTGTTACTCTGGTTTTTGTGGAAATCAATTCTTTCCATATTTTTACAATTTTATCACCCAGTACTCATCCATAGAGGTTAATAGTTTAGTCATTTCTAGGTCCAGATTGGCTGTGAGGCTCTTTTTTATAATATGAGCACCAATTTACTTTTATTGCCTATAACAGTTAATTGGGAATTGCAAAATGATGATTATATAATTCTTTATTTTCTTTTTGTCAATTAGAATATTATCATAAATAGGTATTTTTGAATATTTGGCAAACCATATCAAAAAGGTAGAATAAATGCTTACTTTCCTTTACTTACAAGTTTTCATACTAATGAACTGGTCCTTTGTCATCCTCCAAAGGTGAGCAGTTTTTTAAAGACAATGCTTAATTAAGAGCTCATAGATTTAAGCATATTTTATGGATTTCAATATAGTACATTTCATTATCAAAGCTCCAATTATCTCATCTTTGGCCATTAGGAGCCTCTTTAAAATTTTGCTCCTGAGATTTTGGATTAGCTTCCTTGTCAGGTGTTGCAAGATTCATCTTATACTTTTCTTCTGGAGCCACTCATTTCTCTTAAGAAACATAGTTTCTTGTAGCAAGAAATGATATTTCAAAACCACAACCTTAGCATTAGACATATTCATTTTCCTGAGTTCATCATTGTTTCTTGGCTATTTCAATGAACAGTGGTAGGATAAATAAAGATAAAATAACTCATGAGTTTATATTTCTAATTCAAATTCAGGAGTGTAGAGCTTTTATTTAAATTATCTCTATTATGTACGTATCTCCTTTCTTCCATACTAAGAATTTTGGTTTTTCAAGGGATGGGTTGTAATAGAATTAGAATATTCTGACATAACTTATTTTATTCTGTATCATATACACTGTAGTCTTATGAATACTAAGAAAAATTCTTAGAGCCTGGTAAATACTTAAACTGCCACTGATGTGATTATTGAAAGGAATGTTTTTGGATATAGACATTTCACTTTCTTACCATTTCAAAAATAAATAGACTGTTCTACTCTGTCATAATTATATAGGCATCACAGATTGTACTTGTCTTTTCTTAGTCTTCATTTAGACTTATTTTCTCAGCTAACTTTATACTCTATGCTTCTTACCAGTTCTTATATGTGCAGCTCCATTAATTTTGGTTGTCTGAAGCTTATTCTCTAGTAAATTTATCAGAAACAGTAGTCCTTCAGTTCTCACAAATAATAAAGTTTCTTTCCTATGTAAAAACCATTTTTATTGGGTAGAAAACCACTGGCTCACACTTTGTATTTTATGTATTTTAAATATACTAGAGGTGATTGAAAGATACAGTGAATGTTTCAATAGAAAAACTTACTACAATGAAAGACATATTGCCAATAATAATAGAATAAGTGTATTCAAACCCAGGAAGAGTGTATTGAGTTTTTTTGAGGGAATTAATGGCTGTTTAATTTACTGTAATTTTAAAATTTGAGTAATCACTGTATTTTATGATTACTCTTGGCCAATTAAGTGTTTATGGCAATTTCTCTCAAATAAAAACATTACAGTATATTTTCATTCACTGGATCTTCTGTCATGTGATTTCTGGCTCTTCTGCAAAGTCAAAAGAACCGTGAAAGATAATGCTTTGAATCATTTCAGACATCGAGGCAGTCTTGACAGCACATCTAAAGATACAAAAGAGGACTTCCCGAACTTCTTCAGAAAGTGGCAAGAATGATGGGATAATTGTATTCAAAGTGAGGTGGAGTGTTTTTTTGGGGGGGATTAGGGGCAGTGTGTCTTTTAGCATAATAAATTAAAAAATTAAACATTTTCTGTATTTTTATCATACTGCATATTACTCTATTTTTTTATTTAAAGCTTTTAGTGAAAAAATTTGATATTTTAATTTTCTTTGCATTTTGGGTCACATCCTGTTTTGTTTTCTTTCCAGATGCCTGAGTTTTTTTTTAAATTAGAGCCTGGTAATTTTTTTTTTAATCGAACTCGGGTCCTTGTACTTTCGAGGCAGGCAATGGAACCACTGAGCTAAATCTGTGGCCCTAGAGCCTAGTAATTTAAATAAAGTATGTCTTGGTTAATCATTCTACAGCAGTATTCTCAGGTATATGATGTGTCCTTTTTAGTACATAGGAATCTTTTTCTATTGGGAAAGTTATTTTAGTATTTGTACTCTTTCCTGAGTTTATTTTTCTTTAGGAACTCATATTATTAGCATATTGGCTCTTCTTTGCCTTTCTTCAGTGAAATTTTTTTTAAATTGTCTTTTTTAAAAAATATTTTTCCTTTTCAGTTTCTTTGGAGGCACTATTTATTTCTCTTTCTGTTTTCTGGCTTGGTCTTCATATCTGAAATTACTTTTCCTTTCATTTCTTATTCTTTCCTGAGTATTATATTTTTAATTTTTAGTTTCCTAATTCTGATGTTTTTTGTGCTTTTATGTCTTAATACTACTTTCTTACTATCTTTAGCTTATTTTGAAATAGTGAGTTACAGTTTAGATGTTTTGTGGGTACATTTTCCTGGGTACAGTGTGTATAAAGATTTACTCTGCATTTTTTATTGTAATATGTTAATATGAGATTTGACTGATAATTTCTTTTGCTCATTTTTTTATGAAAGTTTTATATGAAGGTGAAATCTTCATTGTTTTTATGTAGTGTTCAAAAGATGATGACATGCTACCTGAGATTTCTAGGTCTCTTTTCCCCTAGTTTGGATAGGATCTTCCCTTTCTTCTGCTGTCCTACATTGTTCAGCTTTGATTCTATTCCAGCAGTTTCTGCTCATTGTGGGCTTTGTTCTGGAGGAGAGCCTTGGTAGTTTTTAAAACTTACAGGAACTAAAATGCTTTAAACTTTTCAGACCTTCTCATCACAAACCCTTTGTCCTATATGATTTTAAAGATGCCAGAAACGCTCAGGTTTCAATTCTTTTATTTGTGTTTTCTTAAAAATTGGCCTTCTAGTGAATACTACCTATTAGCTATTCTAGTGTTTTGGATTTTTTTTTTTTTTTTTGTATTGGGGCTTAAACGCAGGTTCTCATGCACGTTAGGCAAGCTCTCTAGCACTGAGCTATTATTGCAGCCTTATTACTTTGTTCTTAAGCCCCCTTGTTGTTTCTTCCTGCCAGGTTGTGCTTCTTGAATGTTTGTGATGTGTCTCTATCCACTTGTGTTTTGGGTTTTGAGGGGGATATCTTGTCACATAGTTTTGTTGTAAGTATTGTGCATGAATGTTTGTTTTTCTGTTTTTATGTGGTGATTTGAAAGATTAAGATGTATATACAGCCACTACCATCTTCCCAGGAATCTTCCATTAGTTTTGGACACTTGTTTTTTGTTCAACCTCTGTTCCTTTAATTCTTATTGTGTGTGTGTGGCTGTAATTTATGAATTTTCATCATGGTGTAACAGAATTAATATGTCATAGTTTATTCATTTCTCTATTAACATAGTTACTTCTAGTTTTTCCTTGTCAAATGATATTTCTAAGAAACTTTGTATATATTTTCTGGTATACATCAGCAGGATTTCTATTGGCATATGCTTAGGAGTAGATTTATTGAATTATGGGGAAAGTGGTTCTTAAACTGTGTTATTTAGATAGTGCTAAATCATTACCAGGAGTAGTTATACTAATTTACACCCCCACTGCATTATACCCAATCTAAGACCTGGACTTCACCAGTACTGTACATACACTCATACTTTTCTTCTGTCCTATCTCTTATTTCCCGCAGATAACCTCCATCCTAAGGTTTGTATTTATCTTATCTCCTAGAAAAATTGCTATCACATATATGACTAAACAATAGATTTTTAGTTTTATTTGTTTTGGACCCTGTTAATTTTTGTGTGCTGGAGATTGCACCTAGGACCTTGTACATAGCAGTGAGCAACACCCTCAGCCCTGTTGGCCTTATTTTAAAATGGAAAATTATATCATCTGTTGTTTACTGCGACTTATTTTAACTTGACATTGTGTTACTAAGATTCTTCTCTCTTTTTGTATGTAGCTATTCATTCCTTCTCTATTACTGTGTAACCTATTGTATTGCTATTTGTAGTCTATTGATAAGCATTTTTATTTGTTCTGGTTGTTTTGCTAGGCACTGTAAGACAACAACATTAACAATCACTTATGTAGCATTTACTGTCCTACACACTTTTCTAAGTGCTTTGTATCTGTTATCCACTTAAACTTCTCATGACCCTGTGTGGCACTATTTATCCTTAACAGATAATGGAACCAAGGTGTGGATAGGTTAACCTGCCCAAGGTATCATAGACACAATATTGAATAGTTTGAGCTAAGTTTCAGAGCTAGGGTATCTAGTCCTTTAGTTTGTGGCTGTACAGTATATTCCTTTCGACTCTGGAAATAGCATTGTCCTCACAGTGAAAAAAAAATGATGCTGGCCTAAAGACATAGTGTACTATTTTCTTTTTAAAGTTTTAATATTTACAATGAGTTTATAATACTTGTTTCATTTGAATTTTATTTGAGCATTAAAATGATGTTTGGTAGGTACTTTACCTGCTTGCAGGAAAGAAAGATCATCTTTAGCAGAATAGCCTTATAGTGCTCACACCTGTCGGTTAGCACCATCTACTGGCAAAGAGAAACAGTAACTTGGTTATGTTGTAACGAATTTATTGCTTGGAAGACAGTGCACACTTTCATAGGATTTTTTTGAAAAGCTGTTTCTGGGAGAAATGAATATTTTATAATTTTTGTGTATTGGCTTTTATGTCCCATTATGATTTCCTTAAACTTTCAAGTATAACTTACTCTATATTGTATATTTATATAACTGAGATTACATATAGGTGAGAAAAAACAAGAAGAGTTATAGTTTTATTCTGTCCTTTTTTTTCCCAAAGCATATGTGTAAAATTGTTAATTTGTTAGAGTAATAATAACAAGAGCAAAGCTGTCAGATCAACATGAATTGTATTTAGTTTATTGTTCTGTTTTGGCTTAAGTAATGTGTAATGTCTTTGATAGAGGAATGAAATTGATAGTAGAGTGAAAAAAGTTCTTGGTGGCTAATCCTGGTGTGTTAGTCTTACCCCGTCACTGGAACAAAATATCCATCATCCACAGCTTAATTTGGGCCAGGGTTTAGGGGATTCATGCTGTGGACAGCTGCCTCCAATGCAGAAATGTTGTGATACAAGGGCATGGCAGAAGAAAGCTGCTCACTTTGTGGAAACCAGGAAGCAAAAAGAGAAGGAACTGGGAGGGAAATGTACACTCCACAGCCACATCCCAGTGACACATCTCTTCCAACAAGCCCCCACCTTTTAACAGCACATTTAGCTATGAATTCATCGATGGATCGATCCTCTGATGTTTACAGTGCATCCATGATCCAATTGCCTTCCAAAACCCTACCTCTGAACACATAAGACTTCCGGGGGATCGTCTAGCTCTAAACCATAACACCTGGAAAATTCCTCTCTGCTCAGCTCTTGGTATTAATCTAAATTTGACTTTCATCTTAAACTGGTTTAGCTTTCACCTGCTGGTGACCTAGGATCTTGCCTGTGTCCTATTTTTAGATTGATTTCTGTTGTCATCTTTTCTCTCTCTGTTAACTTAATCCGTGTGACTTAAAAATGTGTAAATAATCCATTATTGTCTTCTCATTCTATTTCTTCTCTTCTTCCTGGTATACTTTCTTTAGGCACTTTACAAGTTAAAGGTGTCTTACATATTACAAATTTAATTAAAAGTAAAATTTCAGTCTTTTGAGAAGGAGGGATATGGTGATTACTTAATTAGTGTTGGTTGAGTGATTCATTAAGGGAATTTAAAAAATTATGTTATGGAATAGGAGTGGTGGTTTACAGAGCCATAGGACTGTTTACTTGTAAGTCTGTGAGCACAGCAAGTAGTTGTTCTTTTGCTCTGTGCTGGCTATTTAGCACAAAATGAAAATAATTTTTGTTTAATGTTAGCTTATGTGTGTATACTTCAGAACTACTTGATTAAGTAAAGACTTGCTAATTCAGAAATAGTGATAATTATAAATTTTGGTCCATATGTTCCAATATGTAGTTCAATGTAAAATGTCCAAGATTGTTGTTGTATATTCTAAGTTTTTAACTCCTGTTTAAGATAGGCTTAGTGTTGGGAATAAAAATGGGGTAGTTTGTAATGTTTGTTTTTTGTTGTTCCTTTGAGTATTTTACTTTTGGGCATTAATTACTGCTAAAGTGGAACCAAATCTTCCTTTCTTTTTCTAATCTAATGGAGATACCAAAATATATTTACTTTATTAAAATATATGAAAAATTATTTGTATATATACTCTTTTTTCCTATTAACTGTTTTTTTGAAATTTATATTTTTGAAATTTTATATTTAAGGAGAGTAGTATGCAGAGACTTACAAAATACATGAACATGTAACATTTTAAAATAATATCATTTTCAAAAATCATTTTATTACTCAGATAATTCATTCCTTTTTATCAAACTATTATCAACTGATTCTTTGATTTATTTTATATTTTGGCTCTAGATTGTTTGCTAATAAATGATATAATTCAGAGCTACTTTTCATCATGATAACTTTTAGGTTAGGGGACAATAAGATGAATGATTTTTGTCATGTAAGGTCTTATTCTAATTTATATGAACATTGTAGCCTTTGTTTTATATTATAAAGAAAATATATAAAAAGCTGTTCTGAGGCATAGAAACCAATTGTATTAGTTGTACAGACCCAGTATTAATCTGAGCAGAGATGATTAAATAAAACAGTACCTCCAAAGCCATGGGTGTGGTATAATATTTTAGTGTGACTTTGGAGACTAGAAAGGAATTAGTAACTAAAGGTGAAGAAAAAATGGTGATTAAGACTCTGAAGCAGTATTTTGGCAAATATTTCATTTTCTATGAATACATTTGAAATTTCTGACTTTATGAATCATACTTTGCAGAAAAATTAATAACTGCCTTTAAAAGAGATATGACACTTCCTTCACACAGTGTATTCCATATCAGCTCATTAGAAAGAATGTACGTTCTGTTTTAAGCACAAAATTTTTACCACAGTATTTTAGGAATGGAGAAAAAAAGCAGTGTGTTTTCTCATAGATGCTACTGGTTATAGTTGAACAGATGCTTAAAACAAATGAAGTAAATTTTTTAAAAGTTCACCAGAGAAGTTGTGAACTATTGTTAAACTAACAACATAATTTAATTGGTTAAAATTAAGCTTACTTAATTAAAGAACTAGCTTTATATTTTTTAAATTATGTGAAAATATGTTTCTATACCATAAATCTGCTTTTCTTGTGAACTGTCAGCTATCTTTGTGTGGATTGGAATTTATATTCTGCTCAAAGGGATTCAGGTAAAGATGCTAGTGGAAGTTGAATGCAGTTCTTGCTGTCAAAGGCCCTGTTCTCCAATCATTTTCCTGGAAGACAAAGAAACTGTTGATGATTATACATTTGCTTTATTTTGTTAGATTCAGCACTTAGCTTCTAGAATATTATAGGCAGAATTTAGGAACTGACGAATACTTTATACATTTGTAGAGTAGTCAGATGTCCAACATTTACCTTCCCCTCTGATCATGACATTTTGGAACATTATGTATATTTTTCATGTGATTAAAAGAAAAGGCTTCCTGCCTATTTGTGCTTTATTTGAACTCAACATTTCAAGTTTATAATTTCATTTGTTTGGTTATGCTATATTGTTAGTAACTTACACATTAAATCTTTTATTTCATTTCTTCTGATTCTACTTGCATATTAAAATATATAAATTTTAATTTCAGGTATATTATATTTTTTTGCCCATGTGACCTAGTTTCCCAGGCCTATTCATTCCTTCCTGTTCAATTCTTGGCTGCTGGAATGAAGGAAGTGACCAGAACTTGGAAAATAGTAGGCGGAGTCACGCATGCTAATAGCTATTACAAAAATGGCTGGATAATCATGATAGCTATTGGTTGGGCCCGAGGTAATATTAGCAATATGTGTTCATAAGTATTCTGTTACTGGTGTTCCATGACTGCTGAATAGTGGGAATTGCATGCATTAATCATAGCAGTGTTTTGGAAGGGCGAACCTTGTTTTTGACTCAAGGTTAATTCAAAGCTAGTACTTTTCACTAGTCATCACCTATTATATTTTATATGACTGCTTTTTTGTTTTTGTTTTTGTTTCTTCTTCTTTTTTTTTTTTTTTTTTTTTTTTTTTTTCTTTTTTTTTTTTTTTTTTTTTTTGGTACCAGGGCTCAAACTTGGAATCTTGTGCTTGTGAGGCAGGCGGCGGCACCACTGAGCTAAATCTATGGCTCTTGTTTTTGTTTCTTGACATAGCATGTCTGTATGTTGTTCAGGCTAGCTTTGAATTTATGGTTATTCTCCTGCCTCAGCCTCCCAAGTACTGGGATTACGGGCATGCACTACCACACCAGCTTGAAACTCACTGCCTTATTATATAAAATTTTTCTGATTGATTTCATCAGGAGCCCCTGAAGCAGAGAGATTATTTACCATAAATAAGTGTGTATAGGAAATTATGTGATTCATGAAAAAAAAAATTCCTCTTTTTGTGTGTGTTTTTTTTCCTCCACAAATTATTGAAAATAGTAAACAAGGTTGATTATGGATTCATGTTCACATTGTGTCAATTGCTTTTGCTGTTCTTTTATATATAGTAATTGAACAAATTCCTCTAACTTCTTATTATGTATGCACCTAAAACTAATCATATGAGAAAAAGAAATGATAAAGCCAAGAAATTTTTTTTTCTGATCAGAAACAAAACGCTGAGCCATACTCTTGGTGCTTTAGGCCCCAATTTTACCTGAATTACAGTGCTCAGTTCCCATGCCAGTGAAAAGATAGAGTTACAATTGTTTCAGTGTCCTAATACAGAGCAACATTTTTTTTCCCTTCTTCTCAAAAACTCTATTTTGGCACTTCTCTTGAGTGTTAAACCAAGCGGTAGAATTCTGACTCCCTTGACATATTTTCTTTATTTTTTATTATTCTGCTTTCTATTTTTTAAAGCCAGTTGGTTAAATAGTCCTTTTTTCTTATTTTCAGGCGCAGGTGGTGCCATTGTGACGAAATTTGAGCAGTTGGTAAAAGGAGATTGGAAACCAGGAGGTGATGAATGGCTGAAGATGTCTTAGTACGTTGGTTTATATTATACTGAGATCTGGATATTTATCCTTAGATTTTTACTAAATTTCTTTAAAGAACATTTTGGGGACTCTAAATGTGAGTGAAATATAGCTAAAAATGGTAATGACAGTAGGAGAATCAGAAAATTTTATTTTTTCCAAGAATTTGTTCTCCCAAATGAAGTTATGAATAAGTACTGATTCTCTTCTCTGTGGGTTTCTCCCCTTAGAAAACCAAAATAAACCTCTGTGTCATCATAGAATTGTGAGAGGGTTATCTATGGCACGAGAAAGAACTATTTCTCTGGATGGAAATGAATTAATTACAAGCTCTTGGCATTTTCATTAATGTCTACAAAGTCATCCACATTTCAGATTTTACATAGATCTAGTAGTAAAGTGACAAATTTATGGGAAAAAATCAATTTAACACCCTGTAAATTGCTTGAAAAATGACAGTTGAGCTTAATTCCCTGTAAAAACAAGAAAAATATTAAGAAAATAATCTACTGTATACTTGTATAGTGAAAAATACATATTGAATCTGTTTAAGAGGACTTATGTTTTCTAAACAAATAGTCCTAACATTAAGTAAGTTTTATAGATATATATCTGATGAACCTTAAAGTTAAATAAATATAGTTACTTAGGTCTTTAAAAAATTCCTCTGAACAATATGGTTTTCAGTATAGAGGCCTTGTATGTCTTTTAAATTTATTTCTAAGTATTATATATTTTTGACACTTGCAAATAAAGTTTTAACAGATTTACCTTTTGATTGTTATTAATATATAAGAATACAGTAGGTTTATATATTAACCTTATTGTTCTAGTAGTTTTATAGATTTTAAAAATATTTATATCATTTGTAAAAATATGTGTTTTTTTAAACATTATTTCCTCTCTCCCTACTTTTGCCTTCTTGCAGTGGTCAGTACTAGTGAGACATTACTGAACAGAAATGAGAGTAGACACATTGCCCCTGTTGCAGTGATGACAGGATCTCCTCCTTTTTATTTATTTTTTGGGTACCGGGTATCAAACTTGGGTTCTTGTGCTTGCGAGGAAGGCGGCGGAACCACTGAGCTAAATCACCAGCCCCTTCCTCCTTTTTAAAGTCTGAATAGTAGTATCACATTTTGTGTGTGTGTGTGTGTGTGTCATAGGCTTTTTATGCATTTGTTGACAATTTGTTTCTATATCTTGGCTATTGTGAAAACTGCAGCAGTGAACTTGGGAGTGCAGATGTCTTTACAAAGTGGTGATTTAATTTTTTTCGCATATATAATCAGAAATTTATCACCAGGTTCCATAATAGTTTTATTTTTAATTTTTTTTTTGGTACTAGGTATTGAGCTTGGGCCCTTGCGCTTGTGAGGCAGGTGACAGAACCACTGAGCCAAATCCCCAGCCCTTTTTTAATTTTTTAGGATTTTATATGCTGTTTTCCATATTTTGCTGTACCAACCCACATTCCCACAGTATCTAAGGGTTTTCTTTTCTCCACGTTTTTGTCAACACTTATTGTCTCATTTCATTTTGATAATAGCTACCCCAGTGGATATACATTAGAATCTCATAGTAGTTCTTATTTGCATTTTTCATTTTGTATACCTTTTGGCAATTTTTATGTCTTTGGAGAAATTTCTATTCAATTCCTTTGTTTTATTTTAAAATCAGGTGTGTGTTTTCTTGGTATTAAATTGTTGGTATTAATTCTTGGTATTAAATCTTGTTTTGTTTTGTTTTTTTGAGACAGCGTCTCACTATGTAGTTGAGACTGACCTGGAACTCACTATATAGCCTAGGCTGGTCTTAAACTCTTAGCGATCCTCCTGCCTCAGCCTCCCGAGTGGTGGGATCATAGGCATGTGCCACCACGCCTGGCAGGTATTAAATCTTTTTAATTTTGAGTATTAGCTCTTTATGAGATACATGGTTTACAAATATTTTCCCAATCTGTAGATTGCCCTTTCATTTTAGTGATTGTTTCCTTTGCTAAAGCTTTTTTGATTTTTTTTTTTTTTTTGCTTTTGTAATACAGTTTCATACTTTTCTTTGGAAATCTAGTTTCCCCACCACCATTTTTTGAAGAGACTGTGTGTCTTCTTGGTGTTCTTACTGAAAGTTAGTTGAATGTATATGTTTGGATTTATTTCTGGAGTCTGTCTTCTGTTGCGCTGGTCTATGCGTAGGTTTTTAAAAAAATTTTAATTTTTTAAATATATTTTTTATTTCACATTGTCCATTATATCATTAGGATCTTACTTACTAGTATAGTTTATTCACACCAGAGAAACTATTTGGTATTTACACATGTGTGACTTAAATAGGAAGAAAGGCACTAAAGGTGTAGGGAAAGTGGGAAGGGTAGGGGAAAGCTAATAAGGGAAAAGAAAAAAATAGTGAGAAAATGAAAAAATGGAAATGAAGTGTTTATAAATGGGGAGGGGAGGAGGGGGTGAAGGGAGGGCACGGACAAGGGGGGAAATGAGAACCAAGACCTGTCATGTAAAGCTACAAGATCCCAATAATGAATGTAACTGTACTGTACCTAAAATGTACCAATAAACTCAATGAGAAAAAAAATGTATATGTTAAAAATAAATATATTTTTTATTGGTACATTTTAGGTATACAGTATAGATACATTCATCACTGGGGTCTTGTACCTTTGCATGATGTATCTTGATTCTTATTTTTTCTCCATTCTCCTAGCCTCCTTTCACCCCCTCCACCCTTCCCTATTTGCAAAGACTTTGTTTCCATGTTTTTCCTTTTCTCTTTATTTTTTCTTTTCCCTTCTTACCTTTCCCCTACTCCTCCCACTTCCTTTGCATATGTTTTTATTCCAGTAACGTATTGATTTTATTGTTGCTTAATATTTAGTATATATCTTCCACTTCCTTGGTTGTATTTGTTCTTAGTATTTATTCATTTAAATTTTATTGTAATAGAATTGTTTTCATTTCTTTTCAGATTGTTCATTCTGGCTATTCCATTTTTGAAAGTACAGTATCTAGTTTCACCAGAAACAAAGTCAAACCTTCCTCCCCACAGTATCTCTTCTGTAGTGTTTCCCATCTCTTCCTTTTGCCTCTCCTCATTCCCCAAAAAGTGTAATGTGGATATGTATGCATTATGAAAAATTTGGAAAATATTAATATTAAAAAATTATGATCCATTGCTTACTGGCAACTACTATTAATGTGTCAGTAAATTTCTCTCTAGTTCTCTTTTCTTTATAACTGTATATTTTTTATAGTAAGTGAAATAGATTGAATAATGGTCCCAATCCCTGATACTTCTAAGTGTTACCTTATATAGAAAGTCTTTGCAGATTTGCAAGTGTTTTGAGGTAAAGAGATTATCCTGGATTGGAGGATTATCCCGCAGGTGGGAGCCTCATTCATTTGTGTGTATCTTTATAAAAGATAGGCAGAGGTAGGCTTTACCCCACATAGTAGAGCAGGCAGTGTGGTGATGAGGGAGCTAAAGAGTGCCTGCAGTCACCAGAAGTTGGAAAAGACAGAATCTGGAAGGAATATGGCCCTGCTTACACCTAGGTTTGACTGAATGATTTTCACTTCTAATCTGTAATAACATGTTACAGCGGTCACTGGAAACTAATGCAGATTTTGGTACCAGAGTGTGTAGTACTGCTGTAACAAATATCCAAACTATGGAATTGGCTTTGGAATTTGATTATGGATAGAGGCTAGAGGAATTTTGAAGCGCATGATCAGAAAGGCCTACGTAGCCATAAACAGGCTGTTGGTAGAAACATGGATGTTAGAGGTACTTCTGGTGAAGGTGAGAAGGAAGAGAGAAGCGTATTAGAGAAAGCTTACATAGTCTCAGAGGACATATAGATTTCATCCATACACTGTTGTAGAAATATACATTTACGGTACTGGTGAGATTCTCAGAAGGAAATTAGAAACATGACATTGGACACCTCACGCTGCAGTGGTCACTGTTTTATTTGAGCCAGGTGAATGCACTTCATTCTGTGAAGTGTCTTGAGGCTGGCGATGATGGTAATATTTACACTGAGGGTCTTTAAAGACTTAATTCCAAATAAAACCATGGAATATGAGACTTTGAAGTCTTGTTTGAAAAGGTATTTTGTTGCCAAATATGTTTGCATATTTGCATTATTATAGAAGCATATTCACTTAAACATTTTTTATTAGTACATGTTTGAAGTATGTGTACAATTATCATAGAGAATAGTACATGTACTTAACATACTTAGTTCTTTTTATTTCTCTTTCCTTCCCCTCACCCTCCCTCCATCTCTAGATCCTCTTCTCATTTGCAGAAGATCTATCTCCCTGTTTCCTATTGTCTATCCTTCATTTTGTTTTTAAATTTATACTTTGGTTCTCCTATGAGAGAAGTTTTATAATATTTAAACTCATGTTACTGACTTATTTCACTTAACATTATGGTTTTAAGGTGCATCCATTTTCCTACAAATGACTCAAGTTTATCTTTATGGCAGAGTAGTATTCCATTGTGTATAAATAACCACATTTTCTTTATACATTTATTTGTTGATGGATATGTAGCCTGCTTCCAAGCTTTAGCTGTTATGAGTTGTGCTGCTATAAACATGGGTACACATTATGCAGCTATCACTGGTGTGATGTTCTTTAATTCTTTTGGGAAAATACTTAGTAAGGGAATAGCTAAGTTGAATGGAATTTCAGTTTTTAGTTTTTGCAAGAATCTCCATTTTGATTTCCATAGGGTTGTACCTATTTATACTCCCACTAACCATGTAGAAGGACATTTTTTCCCTGAAATCTCCCTGGCATTTATTACCATTTGATTTCTTGAAGATAGACATTGTTTTTGGAATAGTCTCAGTTTTATTTTAATTTACATTTCTTTGATGACAAAGATGTTAAGTGTCCTTTCATGTATTTGTACTTCTGAGAGATGTCTGTTCTTGCCCATTTTTTTTTATTGGCTTTTATGTTTGAGAGTTCTCATGTTTTGAGTTCTTTGTATATTTTGGATATAAATCTTCGCTCAGAGGAGTAGCTGGAAAATATTTTTTCCCTTTCTGTGCGTTGTCTCTGTTGGTTGTTTCCTTTGCTGTGCAGAAACTTTTTGATTTGATATAATCCCATTTGTTAATTTTGTTGTTATTTCTTGTGCAGTTGGGGCTCTTCCTATGTTTTCAAAAACTTCCTATTTTATTATCTAGCAGATTAAGTGTTTCTGTTTTAATATTCATATCTTTGATACATTTTTATTTTATTTTGCTACATGGCGATAGATAATATGAGTCTAGAATCAGTTTTCTGTATGTATGTAACCAGTTTTCCCAGCACCATGTTAAAGAGGCTGTCTTTCCTCTAGTGTGTTTTTGACTCCTTTAAAGATCAGATGACTTAATGTACCTGGAGATTTTTCTTCATCTTCTCTCCTTTTCCCCTGATTTACATGTTTGTTTTTATGTAGGTACCATGCTGTTTCTATTACCATCGTTTTATAATATAACATGAAATTCAGGATTGTGATGCTTCTTCATTTTATCAGAGAGTCACAGAATATATGAACATTCTAAAATATCTAATACTTTTTGCAGTAAAGAAAGGCATTTAACTTTGTAAAATTCAGCATGTTTAAAACTTTATAAGTATATTTATAAAGCTAATTTTTTGTGTTAATGCCAATTAGTAGTTCACTACTACAGAGTTCTCTGAGTTTTAGATAGGTCATATTTATTACTCAAAATATGTTTTATTTTCAGCCCTTCCAAATTAACCCTGCTGGGGTCAGTTATCTTCACGTTCCAGCACACCAAGCATTTGGCAATATCGAAGCATAATCTTATGTTTTTTTATACTGCCTTTCTTGTGACCACAAAGGTAAGAGTTCCAAATATCTTTAAATTAGTATTACAAATCCTGTATAATCTTTCTACTTTGATAGAATCGTAAATACTGAGCAAGTAACCAGAGCATTTATTTTGTATTAAAAATGTTATTAAGAATGGAAAAAGATGAATTTTGAAGAGTTTATTTAGCACATAACATAACTTTCTGAAACATAGCTTTCTGTAGTTCTGCATCTGTTTTATGTTGAGACTAACAGAAAACATTTGCAGATAGCCTGTTATCATTATTGGAAGCTAAAAAATAATGGAAATAATTAAGGCTTATTAGTGACTGCAAAAGCAGTGTTGCTATATTTGCAAAATGAAGCACAGAAGATGTTTTCTGAGTTCCTTTAAGCTCTAAGATTTTAAGATTGTCCCTAATGGGACATATTTATAGTCATTCTCTTTGTGAAGATGGGAGGTAGTATGGTATCAAATTAAGCGTTTAGAGTTAGGCAATGTTGGGTTCAAATTCTAGTTTTGTTACTTATTCCTTGAGTATGTAAGTCAATTAATGTCTCTGTATCAGGCACCTATTTCTGGGACAAAATATCTGACATATGCAGTTTAAAAGAAGAAGGGCTTAGTTTCTCTCTCGTCTTTGGAGAGTTCCGTCCATGATTGGTGGCTCCCAGGCAGAAACATAGTGGAAGGGCATAGCAGAAGAAAACTGCTAACCTTATAACAGCAGGGAATAGAGTGAGCAAGGGAGAACCAGAGAGGAAGGAGCCAGGGATCAGATTTATTCTCCAAGGTCATACCCTCATCTCTAACTCAAACACACCAGAAATGTGCTTTACTAATCTTCTAGGCCTCTTTCAAACTGATCAAATTGGCAATCAGTATTAGCCACCATATTCTAAATCCCAGCTTCTTCATCTTCACTGAATGATTGGTGAGAAAATTGGAGATGATGTATGTCATTCTGTTACTATGTCTGATATGTTTTGAGTTTTATTTATAGGTATGTCATGAGGCTAATTCTGATTTTTTTTTACCATTATTAAGTATTGCTTCCTATTCATAAGTAGATAGTTGATTTTAAAATCAGATTATCATTTAAACATAGAGAAATTTCATGGCTACCTCTATTTCAGACCAGATATTTTTGGCCAAAAACTTACCTATAGGACTTGTAAAAGGAAAACAGTACATAAATTTATATCTTAGAACAAAGTCACTAGAGAGATCATTTATGTTTCAGGGGTCTTTGCAGTGGGGCTGGTCTGTGGCTGTAATGTACTTCAAATATGTAAGGCAAAAATCTCTTCACTTCATTCAGTTTTGAGCTGTATGTAATTTTTTTCTAATAGTTTTATTGAGATATATTTTACATACCATATGATTTACTTGCTTAAAATCTAAGTTGAATGGATTTTAATATGTTTGCAGAGTTGTGCAGTTATTACCACAGTCAGTATTAGATCATTTTTATTACCCTAACAAAAAACTTCATACCCATTAGGCAATAACTTCGCATTTTCCTCAACACCCCCAACTATAAACCATTTTATTTTCCTATTGATGGACATTTTGGTTGTTTGTCCTTTGGCTAGTATGCATAATGAGCTATGAATACTCGTGAACAAATTTTTGAATAGGCATGTGCTTTATTTCTCTTGGCTATATCATCTAGGAATAGAATTGTTAAGTCATTTGGTAAGTATATATTTAACTTTTTAAGGAACCGACAGGTTGTATTCCAAAGTGGAATCATTTGCATTCCCAACAGCAGTGTATGAGAGTTCCAATTTTACACGTGTTAATTGTCTTTTTTTATTATAGCCATCTTAATGGTGGTAAGTGATGTCTCATTGTGGCATTGATTTCCATTTCCCTGATAATTAATGATGTTGGACATCTTTTCATGTGTTTGTTGGTCCCTTGTATATCTTCTTCAGACATTCACCTCTCCAGGACATTTGCCCACTTTTAATTGTATTGTCTTTTTAATGTTGAGTTGTAAAAATTTTTCATCTATAGTACTCTGAATTTAGATTCTTACAGTTTGAATCTTACGTGCTCCCCAGTGGCCATGTATTGAAGGATTAGTCACCAGCCCTTGGTGCTGGTAAGTGTGGTAGTGCAACCTTTAGAAGACAGAACCTAGTAGAAGGAATTTAGGTCATTGGGTGTGTGCCTTTGAAGAGGTATTGAGATCCTGATCCCTCCCTCTTTCTTTTTGCTTTCTGGCCATCAAGAAGTAAAAGACCTTTTTTTTTTTTTTTTTTTTTTC